TAATATCATTGATAACTACCCTGGAAGTCAGGTTAAAGTATAAAACCTTAAACCAAGCAATATATTGTTTACCAAATCCAAATTTTGTGCACACACAACAGATTGCCCACATAGCCTGGAACTAAGACCTTTACAGCATCTAAAGAAATGACAGCTAAGAGTTCTTTAGAATTTTTTGGAGTGGCAATAACATCATTTGACACACGTTATCTGAGCCACGTCTATTAGGAAGGAAGTCTACCGGATTTGTGTGTTGAATGTGAGATAGAACTTTGTCCAATCACACAGCAAGAGCTTTAGCTAAAATCTTAGCAACACAATTGCTTTAAAAAATTGTCTTGTAATTACTACATATTTCAGAGTAACAGCCGTGTTAGTCTGTATTGGCAAAAAGGAGTACTTGTGGCACCTTAGAGACTAACCAATTTATTTGAGCATGAGCTTTCGTGAGCTACTGCTCACTTCTCACGAAAGCTCATGCTCAAATAAATTGGTTAGTCTCTAAGGTGCCACAAGTACTCCTTTTCTTTTTGCGAATTACTACATAGTTCAAGGTCTTCCCCAGGTTTAGGAATAACTGAAATTACAGCTACTCATAGAGTAGGAAAAGAGTTTGCTCATTCTTGGTCTCATTGAACATATTCAATAACCTAGGTGTTAAAGTTTCAGAGAACTTTTTGTAAAATTCAGCTGGGAACCCGTCTGCACAAGGAGTCTTTCTGACCATCATATTTTTATAGCCTGAGTCAGTTGTGTGATTTCTAAACGGGCATCTAAAAGTTCCATCAGAGTCAGAGATTTGTGGCAGAGACAATCCACTACAAAAGTTATCTAGGGCATCTTTAGTGATTCCCTCTTCAGCTAAATATAGTTTTGAATAAAACTGTTGAAACTCTTTATTAATATCTGACTGTTGTATATAATTTATTGCTACTATCGCGAATAGCGGCTCTCTCTCTTGCCAGATTCCCAGTAGTTTTGCTTCAAAAAGAATAAAGCAAACTCTGCCTTTTGGGACAGAAGTTTATTGATTTCATAGTTTAGACTGATGAGAATTCAGAGTTTCTCTGGGGAGGAATTAGAAGCACAGTCTACATCCAAGGCCTTAATTTCCTTCACAAGGGTATCAATTCTATGTTTTCTCCATTTCTTTCTAAACGTGGCATAAAAGATGATATGGCCTTTGATGAAGGTTTTAAATGCTTCCCAAAGTGTGACAACTGATGAAACTCTGGAGGTATTTGTTTTAAAGAAAAAGTTCCAACTCTTGCTGGACAGAGTTAATAAATGATGTATCAAACAGCAGAGAAGCATTTAATCTTCACATTTTAGTTGAGGGTGCATACTCTGGGGACCTAAAAAACATATGTATAGGAGCATGGTCAGATATAACAATAGTACCAATGGCATAATGAGTGACAGAATTGATCAAGTCTTGTGACACTAAGAAACAGTCCAATTTTGAATACGTTGAATGAGCTGCAGGGAAAAAAAAAAAAAAAAGATATAGTCTCTGGTCATAAGATTACTCCATCTCCACATATTTTTTAAGCCTAAATCTGCTATGTATGTAATGTGTACTCTTGTATTTCAGTTTTTATATGGAGAAGGAGAAGATTTATCAAGTGCTTGGTCTAGAGTTATGTTAAAGTCTCCAGCTATGATAATAGGATGGTGTCCCATGTCATTTATACTCATAAAAAAATTATGACAAAATTGGGTCATCCTGGTTTGATTTTAGAATTGTCAATTTCAGCCTTGAGGATAGTAAATCTGACCTCAATGTCAGATGTTGTGCTGAGAATATTAAAATTCAACTTTTTATGTATTAGTATACCAATGCCCCTTGCTTAAGAATTAAAGCAACTGGAAACTGAGAGGCATATGCAATCTTTATTCAGTTTACAAGCTTCAAATTCTGGCAAAGGTGTTTCCTGGAGCATGGCAATGTCAACCTTCTTTTTTTTTTTAAAAGCACTGAGTATACTTTTTCCTTTGTGTTATTAAAACCTTTTATATTGCAGGAGACATATTTAATTATCAGAACCATCCTTGTTAAAATATACCAGATAAAATATAAAGTCACTTTATGAATAAATGAGAAATTGCAAATTTTCCTGAGCAGCATACAGTTCTAGAATATCGAAGCAGCAAAAGTTATATAAACCAGGGGCAGAGTGTTGCTTCCCAGTACATATTCTAAAAGGAGTGGGAAGAAAATTTCCAGCATGGGAGATTACAGGAGGGGGCAAAAAGGGGACTTAAATATGTGGAAAAAACAAAATGGAAAAGATTGTGGAGAGAAAAATATACATGAGTGCCATACAATCAAGAAGAATCTGTTTAAACAATCCAAAAACAAACACTTGACATCCAGAGAAGGCAGCCAGATCAGGTGAAACTTGAAGATCCTCATAGCCCCTGGGGCCTCAAATCATTACAGCTACAGTAATCACCTATTACCAATAGAACCTTCCCATTGAGTTCTACCTGTAACTGGTCATTCACAGGTGGACCCTGGTATGGAGCCCCACTGACCTCAGTGAGACGCTTCACAGGGAGATCAGCCTACAACTACATGAGCAAATAACCACTCTTTGACAGTCTTAAATTATTTGACTATATGTTAAATTAGCCACCAGAGAGCGTTTAAGTAGTCCTAAAAATGTAAACAAAATTTACAAAAAGTAAAACACAAATATACATAAAATGACAGAGCTCCAAGAAAACATTCATCGTTCTTTATGTGAATGTGTAAAGAAATTGAAACAAGCAATAAGTGAGAATCAGCTGTCTAATGTTTGAGCCTGGCTGTTAAACACGGACCTGAAAATTAAATTTTTTGTTCATGCTATTCTGTAATAGTGCAAAGCAATTTTTTCAGGAAAATATTGTACTACTAGGCTGCATGATTGTTTTTCTTTTAACAAGTTTCAGAGTAGCAGCCATGTTAGTCTGTATCTGCAAAAAGAAAAGGAGTACTTGTGGCACCTTAGAGACTAACCAATTTATTTGAGCATAAGCTTTCGTTGTAGCTCACAAAAGCCTATGTTCAAATAAATTGGTTAGTCTCTAAGGTGCCACAAGTACTCCTTTTCTTTTAACAAGTTTCTCAACAGTTTAAGACCAACTCCAAGATGCACAATTATCACAATTTAACAAGAACACCCGATATCATAAAAATAAATATTTTGAGACATATGTTATTTTTCTTGGAATCTCCATAATGCTAAGAGACCTCAGAAAAACAAAATGTTTCAACTGTTAAACAAAAACCTCCAATCAAAATAGCTTTTAAACAAACATTCTCCTTGCTGTATTTAAAACTCCAATAAGGGGATAATGAGAACCTGAAAATTAAACTGACTGTAAACTTCACTGAGTTTCAATTTCCAAGTTGAGAGAAATACAAAAAGAATGCCAAGTAAATTAGGATCCCAATCCTACAATGCACATGCTTAATTGTATGTGTGCCATTTACTAAAATCAGAGAGGCTACTTACATGTTTGAACTTAAGCATGTACAAAAGTGCTCGCAGCACTGGGGAATATATTTGTAAAATCTTGACTTTTAATAATTTAAGGTGTTATTAATAAATACTGCTTAGACACCATGCTGAAACAAAGTAAAATTTCACAGAACAGCCGTGTTAGTCTGTATTCGCAAAAAGAGAAGGAGTACTTGTGGCACCTTAGAGACTAACCAATTTATTTGAACATAAGCTTTCGTGAGCTACAGCTCACTTCATCGGATGCATACTGTGGAAACTGCAGAAGACATTATATACACAGAGACCATGAAACAGTATTTTCATCTGATGAAGTGAGCTGTAGCTCACGAAAGCTTATGCTCAAATAAATTGGTTAGTCTCTAAGGTGCCACAAGTACTCCTTTTCTTAAAGTAAAATTTATTCATTCAACAAAATTTAATTTTTCACAGTACCCTTCACTTCAGTCTCGCTGCTATAACAGGATTTAAGCAACTATTTCTAGACTGAAATCGCTGTACAAGCATTAAGTATTATAATGACTAATGATGTGAATCATTTTGGGATTTAGAGACAGATCCTGCAAGCTGATCCAGGCAAGTGGACGCCTTGGGGCCCCATGAAAGGGACGTGTCTACGTTTATAAACCTTCTCTCGGGCCAGCAGCTCTTCATTCTATGGGACCATTGGTTTCCGGGACTGGATTCACGAGTTGCAAACGTCAGTTGTCCTGTAACTTCGCACGCCACTGAATTTCATTCCAATTTAACACTGACACTAAGAACACCCCGCCCCGCCAACGACAGGCCATGGGCGATCACTCCACCAGCAGCCCGCCGCCCGGTTTTATTGTCCATCCTGTGCCGCAGACAAGACTGCTCCTGGCCCTACGGCTGCGGCGGACAGGCTCGGCTCCCGGCCGGCAGGGTGCTGCGAGGATAACCGCGCTGAGCGGCGCAGACCAGGCTGTCCCCGACCAGCTCCGGCAGCAGGGAGAGCCCCTCTGACAGCGGGGGCAGTGCGGGCGGGGAGAGCCGCTCCCGGCTGCACAGACCGGACGAGACGCCGCCCACGGCTCCAGGCGCGAGAAAGAAAACAAACAGGGTCCCGGCTCCAGCGCCAGCTCCAACCCGCGCCCCGGGCAGGTGGGGAGCTGGCAGCTCGGAGCGTCCCGCCCCCGCCCTCGGGGCGGCGAGAGCAGGCGGAGCCCGGCCGGGCGCCGGGCCAGCCGGGCAGGGCTCCAAACGTGCTGGGAGTTGTGACAGGAGTAAAGTGGGTCACAAGGCCTAGCGGGTCCCTTATGAAACAGCCCCTGCCCTGCCCCGCCGGGGAGCCCCAGCCCCAGCCCGCGCCCGGCCCGACGGGCAGCCCCTGCCGTGCCCACCCCCCGCCGCTGCCCTAGAGACGGGAGCCCCGCCAGGACTGTCAAACTTTAATGGCTCCCCGGCCGGGATCCGGGGGACCCCGCCCGGCCACAGCTGCCCCGCCTGCCCTTGCAGCGCGCACCTTACCCGGCTCCCCACGCCGCCTGACCACTCTGGGCTCCTTGCAGTGTGCGAAGCCGCTTCCTGCGCTTAGTCCCAAACCCACCGACAGATCCTCCTCCAGCAGCAGCCAGGCCTGTGATTCCCTCACCGCCACCACTGCGCATGCGCCGCCAGAGCCTACCGGCAACAGCAGCCACCGGATTGACTGAGCCCCGTGCCAGTGCGCGTGCGCCAGGCTGCCGCGGCTGGGCCTGTGATTTACCTTCGCCGCTAAGGGGCATGCGCAGCCTCCCACCGCGGCTTGCGACTCCTCTCCAGCAGTGCCGCCTAGCTGCGGCGCGGAAAGCAGCTCTGTACGCGCTCGCAGCCTGTGTAGCGGGACCCGGCTCCCTGACCTCAGATCACCCCGGTAGAGACGCGGGTGGCTCCGTGAGGAGAAAATGGCGCCTTTTCGCTGGGCTGAGCGGGCCGGCGCGGCTACAGAGACAGGGGCTGCGGGGCGGAGGGCGCTCCCTTGTGCCTTGGTGGGTGGGGACCGCCCGAGCGGGTCCCAAGGCAGTTACATCACCCTGCCCAGCACTATTAGCGCCTTTGGGGGCGGGCCCCCCAGCCGCCTCACACCTACGGCTCGTGAGGCAGCGACTGCGGGAGACCCTGGGGCTGGGGGGGGGGTCTGACAGCAGAGTCCCGGTGAGCCCTGGCCTTACTGTTAACCCTGCCTCAGGCACTGCCCCGCTCTGCACCCCAGGAGGGCTGGCGAAATCCCCGCTGCCCTTGCCGCCTCCAAGCGCCTCAGCAGCTGCGCGCGTGGGAGGAGGAAAGGCACGGCGCGTGCTGCCTGGGGCCGGCGTAGAGCCGCTTGGAAGCCCTTAGCCGGTCACTGCAGCCCTGTCTCACACGCCGCCCTCCCTGGGGTAGCTGGACGCTTCGCTCCCTTTAATGAACCTCCCCTCACGTCACCCCTGGGAAAGGCGCCTCCTGTTATACAGAAGTACAGACGAAAGCCGGAGTCCCACTGCGCAGGCCCAGAGCGCGCAGCGTCACTGCAGGTAGCAGTAGTTGAAGAGAAAAAAAAAATCACAGTCTGCGCCGGGTAGGAGGCTGCGCATGCTCAGAAAGGAGAGGAGCTTTTATTGAGTTGATCGCAGACTTATAACTCATACAAAGGCGCTTTATACGGCAGGTGATGATTCCCGCCCCCCCCTCCCCGAATAGCTACATCAATATAAAGTACCTTTACACAGATATAACCAAGTACACAGAGGGAAGCAGCAGGGAGTTGTGCTGCTTTCAGTGTACCAAAACAATTTATCAGGGGGTAGCCCTGTTGCAGCTGAAGAAGTGGTTTTTTACCCACGAAAGCTTATGTCCAAATAAATCTACTAGTCTTTAAGGTGCCACCTTGTTTTGGGGAATACAACTTATGTGTTTAGACTGAGGCGTAAGCGACTTGCTCAGCCACAATCAGGAAGTCTATGGAAGAGTAGGGCATTGAACTCCAAGCACCCAACGCCTGGAATCTTTACCACCCAAATGAAGGCTACTCACCTGGAACTGGAGTTCTTCGAGATAGACTCTGACTATTAAACTCCTGGCGACTCCTGCTCTGTCATGTTTGCCTCTCTGTTTTTAACTAACTTTACACCCAAGAGTTAGAAATAAAACAAACAAAAAACTTGGGATGTCAATATATATATATTATATATAGGCTGTGCTGTAACTGGATACCCATGTTCTCTGATAGGGAGGACATTCATTCTTTATATGGCTTTAACAGCACCTACATATGCTAACAAACTTAAACAAAGGCTTTGTTTAAGATTGTTAGCATATGCATTGTGCTGTTACATTGGTCAGGAGTCCTGGGGGGGTGGGAGGGGTGGACGGAAGGTGTTTAAACAGTGTTTTTTATTCTGTTTCGCCCCATTGGTCTGAATTATCCATGACATCCATACTGCATCACATCAAGTCCAAATCACTAGAGAAATACCTCTGCTTGCACCGACCAGAGGATGTTTGGATTTTGATGGCCGCCCAGTTCTGCAGCCTGAATGGAATCAGGTATGGTCCCCAGTGTACCTAGAATTCTTCTTTACAGACAAACTAGTCTAACATGCATTTTGTTAACTTGAGCTGGAGCAGCAAAACAAAGAAAACAAATGCCTCGTTTTCCAGCTTTGTGGGTGAGAGAACTATAAGTGAAGATTATAATACCGGACACTGACAGCCTTAAACCAGCCAGCTGCCTCAGGAATCTGCCAAGAACTTTGCGGAAAATATTATGTGTAAATATATATAAAATGTTCCTCATTTTAGTAATGGAGGTAAGACATCACACATCTGCCCACCTTTATTCGAATGAAGCTCCTTCTTATCTGACAACTCAGGCATTGTCCGTTTCATCCAGAACAATTTACAAACTTGGAACCTAATACTGTAAACCCTTAATCATTTGATCAATCCCATTGAAGACAATGGGATTATTTGCATGACTATGGACCACTTTTGTAGACTGGTAGGAGTTGCAGGAGTCTGTTCCTATAAAGGAAGTTGAATCCCCCATTGAAATGCATTGCAGTGTTTGGGTACCACACCATAAAGCAGTTTAGGATACAGTTCTACTTAAAATTTGTCTTTTAGTAAGTCATACATATGCTGAAATGGTTCTTCACCCAACTCCCATATTCCCTATAAACAGATTGAATACTACATGTTTGCGGGGAAAGTGAGTAGTTAAGTATGTTGATGTTTGTATATACAAAGGGGGGTGTCAGAGGAGACGGGGAGAGCGTGGGGGCCCCGGGATGGGAGCAGGGTGCAGATGAGTCACATGGACGGTCACATGGGGAGGTCACGTGCCCTCCGCCTCGTGTCCCTCCTATGAGTGCAGTACCTGCAAGAAATGGTTTCTACTTGCACCACTGGACACAACCCCATGAGTATGAATATGCAGAATCCATCTAAAAGAACTTCAGTTGAAGGTAAGTAGCCTTCAGTTCTTTGAATATCCTCCGCATATTCCCACTCATGGAATAATCTGGCAAACAATATTCCATCAATGGAAGGTGGGACTCAGGATCCAATTAAACAGGGATGGAAGTACAGTCCTATCAAACTGAGTGTCTGCCTTAGATGCTCTGACTAAAGAGTAATGTTTAAAAATGTATTTACTGAGCTTCAAGTAGCAGCTCTCAGTGATTGGGACATGTGTAATGGATGTTATGGAAATAGCCTTTGTTTTAGTAGAACGGGCTCATGCAGCGCTAACAAGGGGAGAAATAGATGCCAATGTATAGCTTTCCTCTGTAAAATGTCTACCCAAATTGATATAGTTTGTGAAGAGACTGCTTGACCTTAGATGGCCTGCACAAGATATACAGAGATTTTTGAAAAAAGAAAAGGAGTACTTGTGGCACTTTAGAGACTAACCAATTTATTTGAGCATGAGCTTTCGTGAGCTACAGCTCACTTCATCGGATGCATATCGTGGAAACTGCAGCAGACATTCTATACACACAGAGAATATGAAACAATACCTCCTCCCGCCCCACTGTCCTGCTGGTACAGTGGGGCGGGAGGAGGTATTGTTTCATGGTCTCTGTGTGTATAGAATGTCTTCTGCAGTTTCCACGGTATGCATCCGATGAAGTGAGCTGTAGCTCACGAAAGCTCATGCTCAAATAAATTGGTTAGTCTCTAAGATGCCACAAGTACTCATTTTCTTTTTGCGAATACAGACTAACACGGCTGTTACTGTGAAACCAGAGATTTTTGAGGACATGCAAAATTCCTTAGTCCTACTCAGATCATAGGTGAGGATCCTCTTAGCATCTAAAGTAAGCAACCTTGAATTCACCCTTGTGACTGAGGTCTGGGGAAGAAAACTGGTTTGAAAATTAGAAAATTAGAGTTTGATTAATGCAGAATTCAGACTCTACTTTGGGGTAAGGACAAAGCAGCAGCTTATCTTTTCTGAAATATAGTAAAGGATGGATCAGCAGTGAGGGCATGTAGTTCACTGAATAGCCTAGTATGTGCTATGGCTATTATAAAAAGTTTTAATGGACAACTAGAACAGAGAGCTGTGTTAGAACTAAACTGAGATCCCTTGATGGGACTAATTATTGTACCTGTGGTTACATGTCAGCAAGCCCCTTTATAAATTTCTTACCCATATTATGTGCAATGGGAGATTTATTATCTAAGAAAATATCAAGGATGAATCTAAGAGGATAAAGAAAGACCCAAAACTTTTAATTAGAGCAAATATTCCAGAATATATTCAATTGGTGGTAACAGTGTTGATCCAGGTTTTTCATGTATCCACTTCAGAAATCTAGTCCATTTGAAATTATAGCACTTTTTAGTCAACTGTTTTTTGGGGGTGTGAGGGGTGGGGCAGGGTTGTTTGTTTAAGTTAAGTATAACTTGCTGCACTTCCGATGGGAAAGATTTTTCCATTACAGTCATATAGCCCATGCAATCAGTTGCAGTGATAGAGGTCTGGGTGGTAAACCTTTTGTTGAGGCAACATATCTGGTAACACTAGAAGAAGTCTGTAAACTCCCTTTGAAAGTTGCAGGAGGTTTGTGTACCATTGCTGACTTGGCCATGCTGGATCAGTAATGATACCCATCTGGCTTTATCTTCCTTACTACCTTCTGAATGTAATGGGAAGCTTATAGTAGTCCATTCTCCCAATTCTGGAGAAAAGTGTCTGATATCAGGAGACTGCCCATACCTTCTCATGAGCAGAAATGGAAATGGTATTGTATCTGGTGGTAAATAGATCTATGTCCAGAAATCCTTTGGTTTGAAGATGTCATCAGTTTCTTTATTGACCATTCATGTAGATGTGTCATATCTCCGCTTAGTTGATCTGTCAAGTTGTCCTTTTCAGCACAATGAAGGGCCATGGGATAAGCTCTATGCTGGATACATCAGTTCCGTAACTCAACTACTACTTTACACAGTTGGAAAGTGTGCTCCCCCTTGTTTAAGATAATATATTGCTATCATGTTACCTGTGGCAATCTGTTCTACTCTTCCCTAGATGTGAGGTAGAAAAGACTTGAGAGCTAAATGGATGATTCTAAACTCTAGAATTTTCATATGCAGTTTCTTTTCTTCAAAGCTCCAGTGTGTTCAAACTGTTAGACTGTCAAAATGTGCTCCCTACCCCTTGTTGGAAGC